TCCGATCGCAGATGTTTTCTATGACCCTCCAATCATTGAGGGAGTTCCTACGCCATATGCAGTTTTCGTACCTGGTATAATTGTTGGTGTTAATTTTGTCATTGATTTATTTGAAATTCAGCAAGTGGTTTTAGACTCTCAGTAAAGAACGGCGTATAATGTTGAATACGTGACCAAAATTTCACGCGATCACGTGTTTTAATAATCGAAGAAACATTTTCTGTGCGCTTTGTGCATTAATATCAGGACTAAATCAATCTTTTTATAGCATGTAAAATTTTTATTATTTTAATATGTATTACTAAGCAAAATGAATAAAAAATCGAATACAAATATCGGAGACTTAATTAATAACTGCGGAATACATGCCGATGTAGTTCGTATGAGGGATTTATTCATCTAAGACATTAAGGACAGATTAGGTTAGTTGCAACAGCAGTGATTTGATAATCACGGATTCCCGTTTTAATCCTTTGTAATGCTCTACTATACAAATTTCAGTATAATGTAGGATATCAAGAAAATGCTTAGGAATTGTATTGATAGAAGGATAACCCAGAGTAGAAAATGGAATAAGTTCAAAAAAGTTTTCAATAATCATTTCTCAAGTTTCAATTTTAAGATTTATTTTTCGATTTCAATAAATCGAATTTTTTTATGGCGCAGTAATTTTTGATTATTTCGCAACAATTAATTGGATCATTAAGAATAAGAAACTAACTGATAAACAAAGGTGCAAATAAGTTGTGAAAATGATAATGAAAAAATATAATATTACTATTACTGATACTAGCAGGGGGACCGTTGTCAAGTCCGGAACTTTATCCAGACTTTTATGCTATTGCAAGAGCCAATCAGCATCTACTCAATTATTGAGCGGGGGGACACCGAGACATTTTTTCGTCGTATATAGTCCTATACTTCGTTCCGGTCTAATTATATAGTCCTTCGCTTCGTTCCGGACTAATAAAGAAAGTTCGATGTAAGAAATAAATGCGGTCCAACCTGTCATTGATATTTCCAGCCCTTCCTAT